CCCCGCCCACCCCCGCAATCCCCGCCCATCCCCGCAATCCCCGCCCACCCGACAATCCCCGCCCATCCCCACAAGCCCCGCCCATTCCCTGGAGAGCCCCTCCCCCTCCCGGTGCCCGCTGGGGGGCGTGGCCCATTTCCCGCCATTGCATCATCCCCGCGTGACCTCCCCCGCGCGCTGGGCGGTGCCGCTCGTCCCGCCTGCGGTTCACTCCCATTGGTTGGTGCTTCCCTGCCAATCACGGCTCTCGCGCTCCCATTGGCTGCTGCCAGCGCGAGCGTTGCGTCAGGCTGCTCTTAAAGCGGCGCGGCGGGGGGGGGGCAGGGCGCAGCGCGGGACGATGCGGACGAGGATGAACCGGGGGCAGCGACCGGAGCGGGGCCGGGGGGAGCCGGGACCACCCAGAAAGGTGCGGGGAGGGCGTGCGGCAACCCGAGGAGCGGCCGCAGGCGGCCCTGGCTGAGGGTTTCCGCTCGGTTCCGGGAGGGGAACCGGAGCGCCCGCAGCCGCCTTCGGGGGGGGGGGCGACCCCCGGCGAACCCCCCCACTCGGGGGTGACTTTTCCGAACAGCACCCCCTCCCTCCCTCCTTCCCCAGGCATCCAGGAGAAAGTGTGTCCTCGCCGACCACCACACCTGAGAGTAGGTAAGGGGACATCCCCCCCCCCCATACACGCGCGCCTTTGGCTTCCGGGGCCGGCCCGGGCACCGGGGGTCCCGGCCCGGGTCACCCCTCACTCCCTTCCCGTTCTTTGCTCTCTCCCGCAGCCCGTGCTGGGCCCGAAGTGACAATGGCGGCCGAAGGGCTGTGGGGGCCGGGCGGCCCCCCCGGCTGGGAGCTGGAGGGGTGGTACCAGGACCTGCAGGAGGTGCTGGCGGCGGAGCCCCCCGGAACCGCCCCCCCCTGGGGGCCTGAGCAGGTGAGCGCGGGGCCGGCAGAGCCCCGGGGGCGGGGGGCGCGGGGAGGGGTCCCCCCTCCATCACCGTTCCTGGTCCCGCTCTCTCCGCAGGTGGAGCCGGGCCCGGGGGGCTGCGGGCTGGACCTGGCTCTGGCCGAGGAGCTGCTGGCGCTGCTGGGACCGGAGGGAGCGGCTCCAGCGGAACCCCCGGGCGCGGCCCCCGGCGGGAGCGGCCTGGCCCGGCCGGGCCCCGCCGAGGAGGAGGAAGAGCCGGAGGCGCGGGGGGCGCGGAGGAAGCGGCGCGGCGGCCCCGGGGCTCCGCGGGAGCGGGACGGGGAGCGGCGGCAGCGGGACGGGGAGCGGCGGGTGCGGGAGCTGACGGCGCACAACGAGCGGCTCCGTGCAGAGATCCAGCGGCTCAGCGCAGAGGTGCAGCGCACCCGGGCCGCGCTCATCGACCGCATCGTCAACCTGCACCAGGTGTAGCGGCTGCCCCGGGCCGGGACGGAGCGACCACATCGTCAGGCTGTGCCGGGGGAAGGTGTCCCCGCAGCTGGGGACAAGGACTCTGCTGCCCCACGGACTGGGGTGGGGCAGCCCTATGGCTGACGGACACTGCGGACAGACGAGTGGATGCAGCTTCTCCGTGCCATTGTACAGCTCTTGTTCATTTATTGCACGCATCTAACCACAACCATTACGGCCCAGTTTGGTTACTGGGGCTACTTCTTCCGCTTGCCCTTGGGGACCTCAGGGCTCCGGCCTTCGGCCAGTGCCAGCTGCTGCTTCAGCTCCAGCAGTTTGGCCACCTGGGCGTCCACCTGGGCCTTCTCTGCCTGGGCAGCCTTCAGCTGCCTCACCAGGTTACCCTGCAGAGGTGGGAAGAAGGATTTGAGGATGTGATGAGGATTTGGGAGGGGATTTAAAGGCATGACAGCCATGCCCCACTCCCTGTCTCCCCCCTCACCTGCTTGGCCACCTGCTCAGTCAGCTCCTGGATCAGTTTGGGGTCACCTGGAGCTGCAGAAGTGTTGGGGGCTGGAGTGGGGACTGAGGCTGGGGGGGGCTCTTTGGCCTGTAAGAGGAAGAGATGGGGGATAAGCCCCTCTCACTCCTATTCTGGGCAGGTGCAGCTCACCTGGGGCTCTACAGCAACAGCTCTGGGCTGGGAATGGGAGGGACAGAGAGGGTGGAGCTGCAGGTGCCCAAGGTGGGGGAGCTGTGGGGGGGTACCTGAGCCCCCACTCACCTGCGTTCCCCCGAAGCGCTGGCGCAGGGCTTCCACCTGCTCGGGCTCCAGTTTCTGGAACAGGGGGCTCACCTGGTGCCAGCAGGGACAGAGGGGTCACACCTGGGGGGGGACACACCCCACTGCCCCCCGCAGAAGGCTGGGGCAGGGCCTGCCCTCCCCCCGGGCCCCCAGCCGTACCGTGCCGACGCGGTGCCCGGCGGGCAGGGTGCAGGTGAGGCCGGGCCCGAGGCCGCAGCGCTCCGGGGGGATGCGGAGCTGGCCCTGGATGGCGGCGCTGACCCCGGGCACGAAGGGCTGGAGCAGCGCGGCCAGAGCGGCCGCCACGTTCACCGCGACACCGGTCACTGTCCCTGCGCGCTGCCTGGGGGGGACACGCTCGGTGACACCTCCGTGACCCCCCAGGGACCCCGTGTCCCTCTGCCACGTTCACTGCCAGGCTGAGGACCCGTGTGCTGCCTGGGGGAACAACACCGCTGTGCCCCTTGTGACCCCCCTGCCCCACCTTCACCCCCTCCTCGGTCAGTGCCTGTGCGAGGGGCCAGCAGGGACCCCCCCTGCGCCCCACCACCATCAGTGCCTGGGGACAGGGACTTCCCAGTGTCCCCCCTCCCCCCCAGCTCCTGGCTTTGCTCCATCCCTGCCCTGTGCCAGCCCCCACCCCTGACAAGACCCAGGAGTGGGGACCCCTCCATGGCACCCCCTGTGCTCCCCAGGCCGCCCAATCGCCCTCTCCCCCCTCAAATCATGGCTGTACCCCCTCTGGTGTCCCAATCCCCACCTGTGACCCCTCCCTGTCCCCCCAAAGCCCCCTCTGTGCCCCATCCATCCCTACCTGTCCCTCTCATCGCCCTTGATGCGCTTCCAGGGCTCGTTCACCTGGATGTACTGGTTGCCGTGGCGGGAGATGCTGAGCACGCACCTGAGCGCGTCGCGGATGCTGAGGGGGCAGGGGGGGCACAGGTGGGGCTGAGCACCTGCAGGGGAGGCTCTGTCCCCCCTCCCTGCGTTTTCAGACCCTCAGGACCCACCGGACTTTCTCCATCAGCTGGTGGTACTGGCGGATCTCCAAGGTGAGCCGGGCCAGGAGCCGCTGGTCCTCAGCTGTGAGCACCATGTCGGGCACGGTACCTGCGAAGAACTTGCACACGAACATGCCAGCCCTGGGGACAGGATAGGGACAGGTGAGCACAGCCCTGGGGACAGGATAGGGACAGGTGAGCACAGCCCTGGGGACAGGTTAGGGACAGGTGAGCACAGCCCTGGGGACAGGATAGGGACAGGTGAGCACAGCCCAGGGACAGGTTAGGGACAGGTGAGCACAGCCCAGGGACAGACTGGGGACAGGTGTGAGCACAGCTATGGAGCAGTCCCCTCCCCGCAGGTGTCCCCACACCTGTTGATGAAGTTGCCCAGGTTGTTGAGCAGCTCTGAGTTGTTCTTGAGCAGGAGGTCGGCCCAGGAGAAGGCGCTGTCCTGGCCCTCGGGCCGCAGGTACAGCAGGTAGAAGCGCCAGACGTCGGCAGGGATCCCGGTGTCCTTGGCCATGTCCCCGAACACGCCCACGCCCCGGCTCTTGGAGAATTTCCCATCCTCGTAGTTCAGGTACTCTGGGGACAGGTGAGCGCCTGCCATGGGGAGCTGGCTCCTCCCAGGCACAGAGCAGGGGGAGCGTGGACCCCCCGCACCTGGGGACCCCTCACACCTGGGGATCCCCCTCGCAGCCGGGGACCCCTCACACCTGGGGACCCCTCACACCTGGGGATCCCCACACCTGTGCCCGTACCTGTGGCGATGAGGTGCTTCACCAGGGTGTAGTTGTCATCGGCGCCCAGCAGCGAGCAGGGGAACACGACGCTGTGGAAGGGGACGTTGTCCTTGGCCATGAAGTTGTAGAGCTCCACCTGGCAGGTAAAGGGGACAGGTGGAGATGTCAGCAGAGTGTCTTGCCCTGTCCCCACCTGCACCATCACTCGCCTCCTCCTACCTGCTGGGGGTTCTTCCACCACCGCTCCCACTGCTCAGTGTAGTTGGCTGTGATGGACAGGTACCCGATGGGAGCGTCGAACCACACGTAGAACACCTGGGTGAGGGCGACACCTGAGCAGGTGAGTCCAGCAGAGAGGGCCCAGCAGGGGCCCAGCAGCGCACCTGGGGCCAGGGGGGACCCACCTTGTCACGGAAGCCGTCGAGGGGCACTGGGGTGCCCCAGGTGAGGTCGCGGGTGATGCAGCGCGGTTTGAGCCCATCCCGCAGCCAGGTGCGCGTGATGTGCCGCGCATTGGCCGTCCAGTCACCTGAGGCCCAGGTGCGCTCCAGCCAGGCCTCCAGCTGCCCCTCTAGCTGTGGGGGACACGGGTGGGACACTTGGGGTACCTGGGGGGCCCCGTCCCCACTTCACTGCTCCCCCAGGGGTGCAGCTCACCTTGGGCAGGTCCAGGAACAGGTGCTGGGTGGGCGTCACCACCGGGGTACCACGGCAGAGCTTGCACTGGGGGCTCTGAGGGAAAACGGGGTCCCCAGCGTTGGGGGGGAGATCCCCAAAAGTGGAGCGGGGGTCCCCAAAGGTGGGGCAAGGGGTGTAACCAAAAGTGGGAGGGGAAGGCTCAGGGTGAGTTAGGGAGGTCCCCAAAGGGAAGGGGAAGTTGGGGGGTCCACAGGGGCTGCTGCCCCACCTTGAGCTCCACAGCGTTGATGAGCTTCCCACACTTGTCACACTGGTCCCCACGAGCCTCGGCGTAGCCACAGAAGGGGCAGGTGCCCTCCACGAAGCGATCGGCCAGGTACCGCCCACAGCTCTCACACCTGAGCTGCTCCAGCGTGTCCTGCAGCAGGAACCCCCGCGCCAGCAGCCGCTGGAAGATGTCCTGGGCAATCCTGGCCAGGGAAAGGCAGGCCACGTTAGCCACAGGTACCCCTGGCGCAGGTGGGGCTCACCTGGTCTGCAGGGGCTCACCTGGTCTGGAGGGGGCTCACCTGGTCTGGAGGGGGCTCACCTGGCCTGCAGGGGCTCACCTGGTCTGGAGGGGGCTCACCTGGCCTGCAGGGGCTCACCTGGTCTGCTGGGGCGTGGTGGTGCGGCCGAAGTGGTCGAAGGAGATGCGGAACCAGGCGTAGACGTCGGCGTGCACGGCGTGGTAGCGGTCACAGAGCTCCTGCGGGCTCAGCCCCTCCTCCAGCGCCCGCGTCTCCGTGGCCGTGCCGTACTCGTCTGTGCCGCACACGAACAGCGTGTTCCAGTTCCGCAGCCGGCAGTACCTGCAGCACACACCTGGGAGTGGGCACCTGTCACACCTGTCACACCTGGCCATGGGCACCTGTCACACCTGGGAGTGGGTACCTGTCACAGCTGTCACACCTGGGAGTGGGCACCTGTCACAGCTGTGGGGACACCTGTCACACCTGGACATGGGCACCTGTCACAGCTGGGCATGAGAACCTGTCAGACCTGTGGGGACACTTGTGACACCTGGGAATGGGCACCTGTCACACCTGGGAGTGGGCACCTGTCACAGCTGTGGGGACACCTATCACACCTGTGCAGCACACCTGTCACATCTGGGCATGGGAACCTGTCACACCTTACTCCACGTCACCCCCCACAGCTGGCAGCACCTGCAGGTGCACAGCTGTAACACCTGTGCAGGTGTGCAGCCCCCCCAGCCCCAGGGAGGTACCGCAGCCTCACCTGGCGAAGGTGTCGGCGCTGAGGACGCAGCCGATGATGTTGCCCAGGTGAGGGACGTTGTTGACGTAGGGCAGCGCGCTGGTGATCAGGACGTTCCTCTCTCCCTCCACAGGTAACCTGGAGGGGAGGGGGGTCAGAGCAGCGTCCCCTCCCCGCCCACACCCCCTGGTGTCACCTGGGCACTCACACAGGTGTCCGTGGCTGCCGGGGCGGGGGCAGCGCCGCGGGGCCCTGGGCCCAGATGTCCACGGCAGCCGCGATGTCGTCGTCGGTCAGCGTCCGCTCCGGGCCCTCCTCGTCCTGCGGGGACCAGGTGAGGGGGGCTGCGCCCTCCCCTTCCCCCGACCTCCCCCCCCGGGGCCAGGGCCGCACCTGGGGCTCGTGGCGGGGGGCCAGGAGGGGCGGGGGGTGCTGGGCCAGGTGGGTCCGGAGCTCCCGCAGCGCCTCCGGCAGCAGCGCGGCCGCGTCCCGGCACGGCTCCCACAGGGACATGGCGCGGAACCAGGAGCGCAGCACCTGCAGCTCACCTGTGGGAACGGAGCGGGGTCAGCCCCAGCCCGCCAGGGACCCCCCCTGACCGCCCAGGGACCCCCCCTGACCGCCCAGGGACCCCCCCTGACCGCCCAGGGACCCCCCGACCGGCTCTTACTGGGCAGACTGGTCTCGTCCTGGAGCACTGGGAATAGGCTGCCCCACACCACCACATCGGCCACTGAGGCGGCATCCTGCAGAGACAGGTGTGTACTGGGGGAACTGGGGACACTGGGAGGGACTGGGAGAGTCTTCTGGGGTCACTGGGAGCACCATGTAAGAGGAACAGAAACAAACTGGGACAAACTGGGGACACTGGGGTTGGGCACTGTGTGGTGGTGCCAGGTGAAGCCAGGACTGGGAGGCACTGGGGCTGTTTTCCATACGGGGGGCAGCAGTGTCCCACCCTCCCTCGGGGCACACGCGGGGACACGACTGGGGACACACCTGCCAGGCAGGTACCAGCGAGCCCATCCCCCCTGCCCAGAGCCCCCACACTCACCCCGGCCAGGTGGGTGGTGCCGCTCCGGGCCAGGTGCTGCTCCAGGTGAGCCAAGAGGTGCCACAGGACCCCGAGGGTGTCGGGCCCCGGCCGGCCCTGCACCAGCCTCAGGTACAGGGCAGCGGCCACCGCGGGCTGGGGACACAGTGGGGTGACATCGGGGGGGTCAGGGGAGCACAGAGAGCCCCGGGGGGCACAGGGGGGCACAGGGGAGCACAGGGAGCCCCGGGGGGCACAGGGGCGGTCAGGGGAGCCCAGGGAGCCCCGGGGGGCACAGGGGGGGTCACTCACCTGCAGCTCGGTGGCCTCCCATTCCAGCCACTGCGTGGTGAGGTCGGTGGGCTCCTCCCCTCGGCACAGGTAAAAATACCTGGGGGGGTTAATGGGAGTCGGGGGGTTCCGGGGTGTGAGAGCGGGGGTCCGGGGATAAAGGGGGTGTTGGAGGCGGTGCTGGGGGTGTGAGGGGAGGTTTTGGGGGATGCTTGGGGCTGGTGTCGGGGGAGCCCCCACGCCGCCCGTACTCACTGGCAGATGGCGTTGGCAGAGAACAGGACGGTGCCGTTGTCCAGCTCCAGCTCCAGCCCGGGACCCCGGGGAGGGCTCGGGGGGGAGCGCGGCCGCTCTGTGGGGAGAGAGCGGCTCAGCCCGCGCGGGGGTCCCGGGGCCGGAACGGGGAAGGCGGTCGGGCCCGGGAGCCGCGGGGCAGGGGGCGCGCTCCGGGGGGGGGGCGAATGTCCCGCTCTCACCTGCGGGGCCGCCCAGGTGCGGCCGGACGGGCGCGGGGGCGGCGCCGGCGGCCGCGAGCACCTTGAGGGCGGCGGGAGCGCCCGGCGGGACCCGGAGCCGCATGGCGGGAAAGGGGCGGGGCCGCGCGGGGCACGGCGGGAGTGGCCGAGGGGCGGGGGCCAACGCTGCTCGCCCCGCCCCCGACCCGAGTCTCGCGAGAGCGGAGGCGGGGGGTTGCCATGGCAACAGGGACGCTGCTGCCGGGGCCGCCATGGCCGGAATGGGATCCATGGGATGGAAACTGGGATTGGATCCATGGGATTGGAACTGGGATTGGATCCATGGGATTGGAACTGGGATTGGATCCATGGGATTGGAACTGGGATTGGATCCATGGGATTGGAACTGGGATTGGATCCATGGGATTGGAACTGGGATTGGATCCATGGGATTGGATCCATGGGATTGGAACTGGGATTGGATCCATGGGATGGGAACTGGGATTGGATCCATGGGATTGGATCTGGGATTGGATCCATGGGATTGGATCCATGGGATTGGAACTGGGATTGGATCCATGGGATTGGAACTGAGATTGGATCCATGGGATTGGAACTGGGATGGGATCCATGGGATTGGATCCATGGGATTGGAACTGGGATTGGATCCATGGGATGGGAACTGGGATTGGATCCATGGGATTGGAACTGGGATTGGATCCATGGGATTGGATCCATGGGATTGGAACTGGGATTGGATCCATGGGATGGGAACTGGGATTGGATCCATGGGATTGGATCCATGGGATTGGATCCATGGGATGGGATCCATGGGATTGGAACTGGGATGGGATCCATGGGATTGGAACTGGGATGGGATCCATGGGATGGGAACTGGGATGGGAATTATGGGATGGAATGGGATCCATGGGATTGGATCCATGGGATCCATGGGATTGGAACTGAGATGGGAACTGAGATGGGATCCATGGGATGGGAACTGGGATGGGAATTATGGGAGGGAATGGGATGGGATCCATGGGATGGGAACTGGGATTGGAACTGAGATGGGATCCATGGGATGGGATGGGATCCATGGGATGGGATGGGATCCATGGGATGGAGCCCAGCCGGGTCCAGGGGCGCTCCCGGGTGATCCCAAGCCCGTTCTGGACCGAGTCCGATCCCGGGCTCTGAAGGGATCCAAGGGGAAGGTTGGGATTTTATCCCAAATTTTGTGAATCTAACCCAAACGTAATGAACTTCACCCAAATTTCCTTAATTTAACCCAAATTTCATTAATTTAACCCAGATTTCAGTGGGTTTAACCCAATTTTTTGAATTTACCTCTGTTTAAACCACAACTCCCCATCAAGTTTAACCACTTTTTATTTTTCCACTTAAATATTCTCTTTAAATACAGCATCATCCCGGGAAACTGCGGAAAAGCGGGAAAAATGAATAATAGTGGGGAGAAGCTTTGGATTCACGTGGGAGCATTAAATGTGGAATTAAAACGGAAATTAAAAACTGAAAAATGAAATTTAAAATGCAACAGGAAAAAGAAAAAAATAAAGGAAATTTAAAAGGAAATAAAAAGGGAAATAATTGGAATTGAAAAAGAAAGAAGTGCAAGTAAAAATTAAAGGAAGAAATAAAAAAGCAATAAAAACAGAGAAAATAAATAAAAATGAAGTTTAAACAGAAATAAAAATTAAATTTAAAAGGAAAGAAAAATGAAATTAAAAATTAAAGGAATAAAAAACAAATAGAAAAAAGAGAATTAAAAAATAAAGAAGGAAATGGAAACGACATTAGAAGTTCTGAAGCCACTCTGGGGGCCCTGGTGGGGGAAGTTTGGGGATCCCCCAGGGTTTTGGGGGGCCTGGGGGAGGGGGGGGCAGTAGCACCAGCGAGGAGCCAGATCCATGAAATCCAGTGGATCGAATCCAATCAAGATGAGAAGGCCAAATCCCACCTGGATCACACCGAGCCCAGCGGGATCTGGGTAAAAGTGGGATCAGTCCAGGAATTCCGTGGCTCGGGAGATCTGGGGGATCCAGCCCGGGGGGGCAGGGCAGGGTTTGGGGGCACCTGCCCCTCCTCCCCCAGGCCACAGCGGGCAAAAATGCGGCTTTGGAGCCATTTCTGGGGGATTTGGGCACCTCCAGGAGGAGAAGCCCGGACCCAGGGGGGGTTTGGGGGTCACTGAGGCCCTGGATTGGGAACTGGCCCCTCCCCACCCCGACCCCCTTTTAGACCCCTGGAAAAATCCCCTTCTGACCCCTTAAAGCCAATCTGGACCCCCTTAACCCCCCCCAACCCCTTGGAACCCTCTTTTAAACCCCCCTGAACCCCTTTAATTATCCCTTAAATGCCCTTTAAATATTTTTAAACCCCTTTTGAACCCTCTTAAAAAATAACCCTTTGAATCCCCTTGAACCCCTCTGACTCTGTCAAACACCTTGGTATCTCCTTTGAAGCCCTAAAAAACCTCTGAACACCATTAAATCCCTCCCTGAACCCCTAAAAACACCCTTGGAACCCTCAAATCCCTGTTTGAATTCCCTTTTTAACCCTTTTTGGAACCCCTTCGAACCCATTTAAGGCCCCTGAGCCCCCTTTTAAACGCTCTTAAATCTTCTGAACTCACTTAAAGTCCCTTTTGAGCTAAAAAAGCCCTTTAAACCACCTTAAACCCCACCTGAGCCCCCTTAAACTCCTCCAAACCCCCCAAAGCCCTTCTTAACCCTCCCTTAAACTTCCCTTCAAATGCCTAAAAAAATCCCTTTCGCACCCTTGAACCCCTCTGAACCCCCTTGATTTCCTAAAAGACCCTGTAACTCTTTATCAACCCCTTCAGATCCAACTGAACCCCTTTCAACCCCCCATAAACCCCTCTGAACCTCTAAACCTCATAAAAACCCCTCTGAACCCCTTTCAACCCCAAAAAAAAACCCTCAATGTCACCATAACCCCTAAAACCCCACTCTGAGCCCCCCTAAACCCCTTCTAAACCCTCACCCCCTCCTGAACCCCCTTTTTAACCCCCCACGGGGGGCAGGTGACCCCCCCAGGAGCACCAGGGGACCCTCAACCCCCAAAACTGGGTGGGGGTCAGACCCCAGTGTGGGAAAACTGCTGGAAAAGCCAACGGTGAAATCAAAAAGTCAGGAAAATAAAGGGGTGGCAGCAGCTGGATTGGGGGATTTGGGTCCCTGCGATCCCAAGGTCTGGGAGCATCCAGGTGAGCAGGTCCTGAAGGCACAGACCAGACCAGGTGAGCAGATCCAGGGTCTGGGAGTGTCCAGGTGAGCAGATCCAGAGCAGATCCCACAATCTGTAGGGTCCAGGTGAGCAGAATGCAGGATTTGGGGCACAGGCCCAAGCAGGTGAGCAGATCCCAAAATCCAACATCATCCAGGTGAGCAAATCCCAAGGGCACAGACCCAACCTGGGCTGGGCTGGAGAGCAGCAGCCCCACCCCACATCCTGATTTTCCACCACTCCTGCCTCCTCCCAGGCTGGAATTGCTCCTGGCCCAGGTTGATTTCACCTGGCTGGAGCCAAAAAAGAGGGAAAAGCCCCAGAAATGAGAAGCTTCACCCCAAGACAGATCCCAGAGCCTCAGAAAGGTCCGGAGCACTGGTGGGTTTTCCGTGAATCCCAGTCCAAGGAAAGGCTGGAAGGACCAGGTGAATTCTCCAGGAGACTCCAGACCTGGAGAACCTGAATCCATCCCAGTCTGACCAGTTTGGCCAGCGGAGATGCCCAGAGCCAGAAGGAGCACAGGTGAGCAGGAAGAACCTGAGGAGCAGCACAGGGAGTTCCAGGTGCTCCTTCTCACTGGAAGTTGGGCTCACCAGGAACGGTACATCCGTGGGATAGCAGGAGCTGGACACCTGTGCACACCTGCAGGGCTCTGATCCTGCTGCCATCGGCTTGGATCCTGAGTGCTGCAGTGGCAGGAAAGGTTCTTTGGGAAACACAGCCAGGTGGGGCTCACCTGGATGGATGGAGCTCACCTGGGATGGGCAAGGAGCCAACTGAGAGCTCAGGGATCAGGTAGGGCAGGGCCAGGTGACATTGCATCCATGGGACACCTGTGCACACCTGCAGGGATCGGTCCAGGACCACCTGGATGCTCAGAGCCCACCAGGAATGGGCCGGGATCACAGGCAGGGGCAGGGACATTCCGGCAGCCTCACATTCCCAAATCCTGGTCCTTGCAAGGGCAGCTCCTCAACAGCTGCTGGAAGGATCTCCCAGCAAGCGAATGAACATTCCAGAAGGTTCTGACAGGTACAGGTGATCAATTCCAGGCCAACGAGGAGGTGAAGTTGGTTCAGCTGCCCAGAATTTTCCAGGTGAGTTTGGGGATTCCAGTCCTGGGTCTCCTGTGGCAGTTCCAGGTGCTTCCCAATCCATCCCAGCTGCAGGTGAGAGGGAGCATCACCTGGATGAGGTGGGATGGGATGTGGCCCAGGTGAAACATTCATTAAACAAACAGGAGTTAGGGAAAAAAAGCTTTTTCCCTTAAAAACAAGGAAAGTGGAGGCAGCTGGGGGGACACAGAGCTGCCGTGGGATCCAGGAGGCTCCAGCTCAGGTGAGTCCTGGCACAGGTGACCTCTGTCAGGTGAGTGAAGGACTCCTGGCCCCGGGCCAGGCAAATCCTCTGTCCAGAGCAGCCCCCACCAACTAAATAATCAATCCATGGAATAAATAATGGAGCCAGAGGGCCTGAGGCCACTCATATGGGCAGGTGGGGGTGCTCCAGGTGCTCTGGGAGATTTTGGGGTGCTCCTCCCTTGCTCACAGCAGCAGGGACAGGTGGCACCCCCAGCTCCTTCCCAGGGGGGCTGGAGGCTGGAGCCGGATGCTCCACGTGGCCACTCCCACCCTTGGCACCTGCCCGTGGCTCCACCTGGCAGTAGAGCCCAGGTGCATCGGGCAGGTAAGGCTGGGAGCCCCCCTGGCCCGGCTGCCCGGCAGGGTAGCACAGGACAGAAGATTCCAGCGGGAACTGGGCTGGGATGAGGATGGTGGAGGTGAGCCCGGGGCACGGGGGTGGTTTCACCTGCCAGGTGTCATCCAGGTGCTCCCCCAGGACACAGACCCCACCCCCCTCTCCCCCAGAGCCGCTTCCAGAGTCTTCCTCAGCCTTCAGCCTCTCCAGCTCCTCGGCCGTCTGCAGGTGCAGCACCGCCCGCTCGTTCTCCGCCAGGTATTCCTGGAAGTCCTGAGTTTCGGGGGGCTGTGGGGGTGGCCAGGTGGGGCCAGGGAGGGCGGCTGCTCCCTCCTCTTCCTCCTCCTCCCGCCGGTTCTCCAGCTCCAGCTTCATCAAGGTGTGCAGGAAGTGGGTGCGGACGCGCAGGGGGTTGAACTCGATCCGCCCGGCCACGTTCCCGCAGCCATCCCGGGAGCAGCCGCACGGGAACGACGTGCGATCCACCTGGGGCAAGGGCACAGCTGTGGGAGCCCTCCCAGCACCCGAATCCCACACCAAGCATCGTGGAGGGGGCTTATCCCAGCCAGGTGCCTCCACTGGGAAGAGATGTGGACGACCCCACAGGATCCCCCCGGAGCCTGAATCCTACCCCAGAGCGATCCCAGATCCCACCTGGACAGCAGGAATTTGGCTCTGGAGTGGGGAGAGGGGTTTACACATTCCAGATATGCCCAAAACACACCTGGAGCTGTTCCTGCTCCTTGAAGGAACAAGAGCATTCCAGCACCTGTTGGACCACAAATCCCAGCCGCCTCACCTGGCACTCTCCACCCCTCAAGGAGCGAGGACACGGACAACACCTGGCCGACCTCGAGTCCCACCTGTCCCCCATTTTCCCAGGTCACCTGGCACTGGATACCCTCACCTGGCACACCTGGCTCTCCCCACTCCTCAAGGAGCGAGAGCACAGGCACGAGGAGCAGGCCGGCCCCCACCCCGCGGCTCACCTGGCACTGGATGCCGGCCTGGCTGCAGGCGCAGGTGCGCGGCTCGCAGGTGAGGCGGCAGAGGCAGCCGCACTGCTCGCGGGACAGGCGCAGCGCCCGCAGCTCCTGCCGCTCCTCGGCATCGATCCTGCGCACGCCCGAGGCGCGGAGCAGCGCCCGGCGCCGCTTGGTGGGCAGCGGCTGCAGGTAGAAATAATCGCCCACCTCCACCTGCCCCACGTCCAGGTCATCGTCAGACACGTCGGCCAAGGTCAGCCCCGCGGCCTCGGCCGACGGCACCGTCCCGTTCTGGGTCAGCTGGGGATGGAGGGACACACGTGGGGATGGGGACTGCGGGGGGTCACCTGGCCAGGTGTCCTTCCCTCCGCCCAAACTGAGCCTCTCCTTGTCCCTCCCAAGACCTGTCACCCCCAGATGCCACCCAGGTATTTCCCACAGATTTTTCCCTGCACCTCCTAAGATTCCCCCCAAAGTGTTTCCCACTTGGATTCCCCTCAGTTTGCCTCTTCCAACCTCATCCAGGTATTCTTCACTTCCCTCCCACAAACCCCCCCACCCCAAGGGCTTTCCCACCAAACCCATCCAGGTATTTCCCACCTGACTCCCCCAAATCCACCCCCAGGTATTCCCCACCACCTGGGTCCCCCACTGCTGCCCCTCCAGGTATTTCCCACCTGGATCCTGCCCTCCCTCCCCAGGTATTTCCCACCTGGATTCCACACTCCCTCCATGGGCATTCCCCACCTGGATACCCTCTGTCACCCCAAATTCAACCCCAGGTATCTCCCACCTGGATTCCACCCTCCCTCCCCAGGTATTTCCCACCTGGATTCCACCCTCCCTCCCCAGGTATTCCCCACCTGGATCCTGCCCTCCCTCCCCAGGTATCTCCCACCTTTCCCCCCGCAGATCGCCGCTCACCTCTCTCCTCCTGGCGCGCAGTTTCTCCCTGCGGAGGTGCTGCCGCAGGTGCTGCCGGTGGCTCACCTGGCGCAGGTGAGCGAACTGGCTGAGGCTGTACCTGCGGGCGCGGTGGTGCCGCGGGGCCATGCCCAGGGAGCTGCCGCCGGCGCTGGGCACGCAGGTGAAGCCCTGGCGCCGGGCGAAGTAGTAAACGGTGACCTGAGCGAAGCGCACGCGCTTCCCGCCCCGGCGCGCCCGGGAGCGCCGCAGGATGGACGGGGCTGCGGGCACAGAGCGGGTCAGGGCCGGCCATCCCAAAAGTCACCCCCATTTCCCACCCCAAAATTTAAAAATACCCATTAATTCATCATAATTCCACCCCCAAATTCCCCTCCAGGATTCCTCCGAACTCCCCCCTCTCAGACTTCTCCCAAAATGCCTGAAATTCTCCCCCAACTCCTCCAAAGTTTCCCAAAATTCAAAGGAAAGTTAAGCCCCATGAACTCCTCAAATAACTCCCCCCCTAATTTCCCATTAATGCACCAATCCCCTAAACTTTCAAAAAATCCCAGAATTTTCCCCAATCTCATTAAAAAAATAAAAAATTCCTCCAAATTCTCCCAAAACTTAAAAAAAATCTCAATTGTCCCTCAAATTTAAAAAACTCATCAAAAATTACAAAAAAACTCGCGAAATTCACCAAAATGAAAAAAAAAATTCCCCCAAATCTCCAAACCCAATTAAAAATCCCCAAACCCAAAATTTAATAAGAAAAATTATTATTTTGTAAAATTCCCCCTTGAAAACCCAGTAATTCTCCCCCTGAAATATCACTACACAATTCCAAAAAATTCCACAGCATTCCGCCCAAATTCCCTAAAACACCCCCCAAAAAAACCCCACCATGATGGGGAAGGGAAGGGAAGGGAAGGGAAGGGAAGGGAAGGGAAGGGAAGGGAAGGGAAGGGGATCCCAAATCCCGCCCCGTTCCCGGTCCCAGCTCACGCCCGGTGCTGCCGGAGCTGCCGCTGTCGCAGCTGTCGCCGCTGTCGCTCGTGGCGATCTCATCGTCCGAGGTGGCGCCGCTGGATGCGGCCGATCCCAATCCCGATCCTGATCCCAATCCCGATCCTGATCCCAATCCCGATCCTGATCCCAATCCCGAATCCTCCGGCTTGCGCTTGATCCCGGCGCTCGGGAGCGCGGCCATCGGGGCTCGGCTCGCATGGAGAGCCCGGCGGGGACGGGACGGGACCACCCTGCGGAGAGCACCGAGACATTCGGGATCCCTGTGGATCACCAGCACGGCGTTCCCGGGCTTTTCTCCCGGCTAAATCCCCCAATCCAACAGAACTCGTTGGTGCCAGCCCATCCCGGCGCTGGGTGTTTGTATTTCATGAGTCATGGTTCCACAGGATCGCCAGGAGAAGATTCTCTGGATTTTCCAAGAATCCTGCCCTCCCCATCCCTGATAAATCCTGATCCCAATGGGAGATCCCTGTGCCAGTCCATCACCCCCGGACATCCACACAAACATTTACACTTTGCTCCAGCTTCCTCTATCCCAGCTTTTCCATTCGGGATTGATTTGGGATGGAATTCACCCAAAACCAAAGGGAAAGTGCTTTTTTTTTTGTTGGGTTCTGTTTTTTTTTTTTTTGGACAGGCAGTGCCAGATTCACCCTAGAATATCCTGATCCTCCCCAAAATTCCCTAAAGTTCAGAAAAACCACCAGATGCTCCAAGAATTCCCAATCCTTCAGAGATGGCAGATTGGGAATGAGCCTCCCTGGGATTTTCCTCTCTCACACCCCTTAATCCCAAAAAACCCCAAAAAACCCACGGTGATACTTGGGAAAATTTCCAGCTCCAGGTTGGGCAAAGGGAATTTTTGGACCTGATTCCTGCTGGGAATCTTCCAGGATGAATTTGGGAGCACCCCCAGGATGTTCTGCAGCCCTTTGGGGGGCTGGGTTTTGGGTGGGATTTGCCAGAGCAGGAGGAACTGACAGATCTGGATCCAGCCCAGGGATCCTTCCCCCGTCCCCTCCAGAAGGGAATGCTGTCCCAAAAAGCAGGATGGGAATTCCCAACCCATGCACCGCTTTTGAGGTGAAATCCTGGGTTTTGGGGTGGTTTCTTTGCGAGGGAAAGTGGGAAATCCTGGTGGTAGAGGGGGAAAAAGCAGGAAGGAAGGAACTGATCAATCCCAATCCCAGGAGGAGTGGAGGTGGAAAACCCATCCCAACTCTCCAGCCCCCTGAAATTGCCAAAAATCCTCAAATTATTCCCTAAAACCACATTTCCATGGAAAATCAGAGATGGATCCCATCATCTGCACAAAGATTCTTCCCTGATGGATCTGTCAGGATGATTCCTATTCCTCACATAAAAGCCCAAATTATTCCAAATTATCCTTTCTGTGGCATAAAGAAACTCCTGGAAGAGTCAGAATGAAGGAAAAAAAGAACCCCACAAATAAATGAAAATATCAGGTTTCCATTTTTCCCCATTTTTAAATTGGAAAGAATTTGAGATGAGGAAGAAAAAATGGGTTCAAATGCTGAGGGAGGAGCCACGGGAATTGGGGAATTCCCATTGTTTGAAGGATTAAACCTCACCAAAAGGAATAACTATAAATTTTATTCCAATGTTCCAGAATCACTTTGGGAGTAGGGAAGGGATCAGGAGAGTTTGGGATTGCTGGAAGCACAGGAGCTGATCTGGAAAAGCTCCTGGCTGAAAGGTGATCCAAGCAGGGTGGGCAAGCTGGGATCACGTGGAACCACCAGGAATCGTCCATCCCACACCTGCTCAAGGTGAGCGCCAAACCCTGGAATGATGAACTCTTTTTTATTTCCAGCTATTCCAATAAATTAGGAATGATTTCCCAATTTTCCAATCCTCTGAGCATGCTGTGGATTCTGGGATAGCTCCCAAAATCCCAACCTAGATCAAGGGCTCGAGGAATTAGAAGGTTCTCAAGAATTCCTGCTTGCACTCCCTAGATTCCAGCACCAATTTTTTTTTTGTTGAAGATAATGAGATTCCCATGAAAATTGAGAGCCAAAAATGGATTCTTTTGATGGTTTTGAGGGATCAGAAGTGTCAAAAGCAGGGATCCAGAATACTCCAGGATAAGAGGGGAGTGGGAATGATCCATGAGCAGCTCTGGTGGAACCCACCCAGAAAGGGTCTGAGAACCTCAATGATTCCAGGTGTTATGCCAGGGCAGGAATTAGCAAAAAAAAAAAAGGGATTTGGGGATGTTCACCAGGAATATCTTGGCAGTCTGGATCCTTAAGGAATTGGGCACGTTTTCCAATGTTTTCCCCAAGGATTCAGCTCAGCAGCTGAAAGGTCCACGGATTTCCCAGGGATTTGAGTCCATCCCAGGTCATTGCTGACATTCCCAACACACAACTCTGGGTTTTTAGGATGAAAGGTGGAAAATTTGGGTTCCTCAGGGCAATCTAGGATACAGCTCCCATAGAACTCCCAGCATTTCTGCAACCAGCATCCCAAGGAGCACCTGTCCATTTGAGATGAGGAAGGAAAAATAGTTCCAAATGCTGAGGGAGGAGCCATGGAAATTTAAAGGATTAAATCTCACCAAAAGGAGTTCAACTAATAATATAATCTTTTTTCCCATGTTCTGGAATCACTTTTGGAGTAGGGGAGGGATCAGGAGAGTTTGGGATTCCTGGAAGCACAGGAGCTGATCTGGAAAACCTCCTGGCTGGAAGAGCCTGGGAAGGAAGGACAGGTGCCCCTCCCAGGGTGGGCAGGCGCTGGGGGACAGAGAGGTGACAAAAAAATCTCCTTGGGCCCTGTGTCCATCACTGGAATTGGGAGATAAAGGTGGATCCATGGAACACCTGGATCCAGAGGCCCAGGAGGTGAAGGGGCCCTGGGAAGGGAGGACAGGCTCCCCCCCAAAGGTGCTTCCCAAGTACCTGGGGAGGGTCAGGTGGGGGCGGGGGGCATGGAAAAGGTGATTCCACAAAACTCCCTGGGGCTGGAACCAAGGGATGAAGGTGGAACAGAACACAGAACACCTGGATGCAGAGAGGAGCCCAGGACAGGTGAGGGTGGAGCAGCAGGAGCCCTTCCTGGGGCCCAGGTGCTCCCCTCCCCCCAGAGAGGTGCCCCCACACCTCACCTGAGCTCAGGGTCATGTGGGACCCCCAGAATCACCTTGGGGGTGAGGCCTGGGGAGGGATCAGCCCAACCCCCCTCACAGCCCCAGTACAGCCTCTCCCCCACCTTTGGGGACACCTGACACCCCAGGTGTGACCACCCCATCAACATCATCACCAGCAGCTTCTCGGGGACCCCTCCAACACAACCCCTGTGTCCCCCATGAGGTCCCCAAGGCCACCCACAGGTGCCAAGGCCACTCTAAGGACCTCCAGTGCTCCCCCCAAGGTACAGCAAAGGGGAGACCCCACCTGCCAGGACCCCCCAGTCGCTCCTCCCCAAATGTGTAGGGGGGCCCTACACAGCCCTACAGGCCCCCGATGCAAGGGGAGCTGTAAGGGCCCCTCACATCCTGTACAGGACCCCATGGGGACCTTGAACTGAACCCCATCTCCTAGAGCCACCCCCACCCCTACGTCCTCCCATACATTTCCAGCAGCAGCAGGCCCGTATTTCATACAGCCCCCCACCCAATCCCCCATAGATTCCCCCCTCCCCCCCAGACTCTATATCCTCCCATCTCCTACAGACTTTTAGCTATAAGGTCCACCCGTACCCCCTATAGCCCTCCCACCATCCCCTACAGGCGCTCCAGCTTTAGGGCACCCCCTTGCCCTGGACGCCCTAAAGCCCCTCCCTTGCACATCCCCCATAGCCCCCGGCCCGCTGTGAGGCCTCTCAGCTGTAAGGGACCCCCTCCCCTATAGCCCCCCCAGCTATAAGGTCTTCCCATCCACAATGTCCCCCTCCTCCCAGCCCCCCCCCATCCCCTGCAGCTCCCCCGGCTGTGAAGCCCCCAGACCCTTTCACCCCCATCTCCTATAGGGGCCCGCCGCTGTAGAGCCCCCATCCCTCACAGCCCCCCCACCGCAGCCCCCAGGCCCCTGCAGGAGGAGGCCGCCCCCCCCCGCCCTCCTTCCAGCCCCCGAGCCCTGACCCACCCTTCCCCCGCCACTCACCGGTGCCCGGGGGGGTTTGGAGGGGCCGGTCCGGCCGGGTGGGGGCGGGGGGCGTTGGGGGGGGCCCCGGGGCCGGTCCCGGGGGGGGTCCGGGGCCGGTCCCGCCCCGCCGCGCGCGCCGACAACAATGGGGCCGCGGCCGCTGCGCCGCCGCTTTTATACCGCCCTGCGTCACGTGATTCCCCGCGCCGCCACAGCTCCGCCGCAAGGCACCATGGGAAACCGAGTTCCCTGGGGAGAAAATGCTGCGCTGGCGTGGGGTGTGATGGGAAATGTAGTCCGGAAATGCGGGATATGGAGGGCTGTAGGCGATCACGGACTCGTGGCGGGGTCTGGGTTGGAAAGGATCTTAAAGCTCAGCCACTTCCACCCCTGCCATGGCCAGGGACACCTCCCACTGTCCCAGGCTGCTCCAAGCCCTGTCCAGCCTGGCCTTGGACACTTCCAGGGATGGGGCCACAGCTGCTCTGGGAAATCCATTCCAGGGCCTGCCCACCCTCACAGCCAGGAATTCCTTCCCAATATCCCATCCATCCCTGCCCTCCGGCACCGAGAAGCCATTCCCTGTGTCCTGCCCTTCCATCCCTTGTCCCAAGTCCCTCTCCAGCTCTCCTGGAGCCCCTTCAGGCCCTGGAAGGGCTCCAAGGTCTCCCTGGAGTGAGGTGAACACCCCCAGCTGTCCCAGCCTGGTTCCAGAGGGGCTCCTGCCCTGGGAGCAGCTCCGTGGCCTCCTCTGGACTGGCTCCAGCAGCTCCAGGTCCTCCCTGTGTGGGTCCCCAGGGCTGGAGAAGCTCTGCAGGTGGGGTCTCACCTGAGCAGGGCAGAGGGGCAGAAGCTCGGGGGTCTCTGGGTGCCCGTGGGTGTGGCCAGGATGTGTCCAACACCCTCAAATCCTTCTCCATGGGGTCACCCATCCCCTTGGATCCTTCTCCCAGAGTGCTCCCATCCCTTCCCTGCCCAGCTGGAGTTTTCCCAACCTGCACTCGGCTGTGTTGAATTTCCTGAGGTTCCCAGGGCCCCGGCTCTCCAGCCTGTCCAGGGCTCTTGGGATGGTAAAAACGTGATGGAGCCCTGGCCTGGGACACCTGGCTGGGGACATCAGGTGGGGACATCGGGATGGAACCCAGAGACATCGGAATGAGGCTGGGGACACCAAAATGGGGACATTGGGATGGGGACACTGCCCTGGGAAACCAGGATGAGGACATCCAGGTGGGACACAGAGATGGGGACATTGGGATGGGACACCAGGACAGACACTGGGATGGTCAGCACCAGGATGGGTCACTGGGATTGGGATGCTGGGCCTGGACAGTGAACTGAGGCACTGGGGGGCCACATTCCAATGGGATGCCAGGTTGGGACACCGGGCTGGGACATTGAAATGGGACACGATGGAGCACTGGGATGGGACAAAGGTGGGATGGGAGATAAAATGGGGACGTTACAATGGATGGGACATAGGGAGGGGGACATGGGGTGATGTCCCAGGAGCCCCCAGCTGTGGCTGCCAGGGGCAAGTTTGTGAGGGGGACAGCGACATGGCCTTGGCAGTCCCATGGGGACACTGAGGAGGGGCTGCAGAGCGGCCCCAGCTGTCACCTGAGGGTGTCACAGGACCCTCGGGGCGGTTGCTGTGTTGGGTCTTGTCCTCCCAAGCTGGGGGACCCCAACACCAGCCCTGCCATGGCCTTGGCCCCTCAGGGTCAGTGTCCTGTGTGTCCTTGTCCACCACATGTCCATGTCCCTGTCCCTGGCATGTCCTTGTCCTTCACGTGTCCCCTGTGTGTCCCAGCCATGTTCCTGCCACGTCCTTGTCCCCTGTGTGTCCATGCCACATCCTGGAGTGTCCCTGTCCCTGCTGTGTCCCTGACCACCACACGTCTGTCTCCGTGTCCCCAGAGTGTCTGTCCCGGTCATGTCCCTGTCCTTGTCACCACTGTCTCCATGTCCACCATGCCCATGTCTGTGCCAGTGGTATCTCCTCATCCCCAGCGTGTCCCATTGTCCTGCTCTGGCCTTGTCCTTGTCCCTGGCATGTCCATGACCCTGGCGTGTCCCCTCCTGTGTCCTGTCCCATGTCCCATCAATCCCCACATGCCCAGAGCATCCCTGTCCCCTGTCCATGTCCCTATCCCTGTCCCCTGTCCATGTCCCCATCCCTGTCCCTGTCCCTGTCCCTGTCCTGTGCCAGGAGGGACCCTGGAGGGTCCGGGCTGGGGAGGGGTCCAGGGGCATTCCTGTGGAAAATCCTCCTTCACCAAAGGAGGCCCAGGAGGAGCCACACCCACTGACCACACCCACCGACCACACCCACCGACCACACCCACTGACCACACCAAATCACACCCACCGACCACACCCACCGACCACACCCACTGACCACACCCACCAACCATCCCTGTTCACACCCACTGACCACACCCACCGACCACACCCACCGACCACACCCACTGACCACACCAAATCACACCCACCGACCACACCCACCGACCACACCCACTGACCACACCCACTGGCCACACCCACTGACTACACCCACCGACCACACCCACTGACCACACCCTGACCACACCCACTGATCACACACTGACCACACCCACTGACCACACCCAATCACACCCACCGACCACACCCACCGACCACACCCAATCACACCCACTGACCAC